CGCGGTCGCGCTGCGGGGGTCCGTCGCCCTGTTCCCGATGGCGCCGATAGTGTCCGCCCTGCTGCTCACGGCCGCGGCGGCGACGACGGTTCTCCAGGACGACCGTCGCGACATCGGGGGGGGCGAATCCATGGCTTCTGGGGCGGACTGAGAGGGCCACCCCGAGACAGGGGGGCTGTCCAGGTACGACGTCACTTCGAGCGCCCTGGTTTCTGTCGCCTGGCCGCCCGCGGCCCGCGCTCGACCCCAGGGGCCAGGGGGCCCATCACTGGGGGCGCCAGACGGAGGTGAATGTTTCCCGGCCCCCTCTAGCGCCAGCGCGCCGGCGCGTCGTCGCAGCCTTGGACAGGTGGTTCTGGCCTGAGCACCTCTTCGCGGTCCGAGAGCGCCACTGCCAGACGCGGTGGCCCGCGCGCCTCTGGGCGGTGGCCTTCCGCAGCGGGCACCCACCCCAGCGCGGCGACGAGGCTCTGACCAGGCGCGCCCCAAGCAGCGGCGGCATCGCTTGCAGTAGGCGCGCGCACGGGGGTCAGCACGGGACCGGGAGCGGCCTTTTGGCCCCTGACACCGCCATCGCCGCCTGGTCCAGGAGCGCCGCTGCAAGCGGCAAACACGGGAGAGACGGGGGTTCCCCCTGAGGCCTGGCGAGGCCCATGGGAGGCCCGCTGGTTTCTGACACCACCATTCCTGCCAGGCTCGGCCCGCTGGTTTCTGACGCTGCCAGAGCCCTCCGCGCCCCTGAGCACGCTGCCAAGAGAGCAGACGCCAGCCTCTGAGACGCCACAACTGAGAGCGCAGCGGAATGCCGCGTTGACGGGAGTGAAGCTACCAGGTTCGGCCCGCTGGGCTCCGACGCCGCCATTGCCGCCGGATTCAGGTGTGCCACGGAACTCGGCAAGAGCGAAAGAAATGGATGCCCCCTCTGAGCCCTGGCGGGGCTCGGGGGGGGCCCGCTGACTCCTGATTCCGCCACCGCAACCAGGTTCGGCCCGCGGGTCTCCGGCGCCGCCACTGCTTCCAGGCCCCCGGCAACGGAGGTGACATCGGAGCCCCGGCGAAGCTCGGGGGGGGGGGGCGCCGGTTCCTGTCACCGCCATCGCCGCCGCGGCTCAGCCCCCCCCCCCGGAAGGCGCGGGGGGCGCCGCGGCAGGCGACATTATCATCGAGAGAATCGGCGCCCTGACCTCGGTCGGGAACAGCGGGCGCGGCACGGGGGGGGGGCGCGAATGGAGCGGGGCCCCCACCCCCCCCTGCCTCCCCGCAGCGCCACGAAGCGCGGCAGCGGATAATTAATAAAACTGATCGATCCCGCGCGTCGGGCCCACGCGGGCCCAACGCAGGGGATTCGCCAGCGAGACCAGAGCCGCGCGGATGCCCTGGAGAAACGGCAGTCGATTCCTCGGCTCGAGCCGCGAATCCGCGGGCCTTGTCCACCACTCCTCCTCCTCCTCCTTCCCTCCTCTCCTCCTCCTCCACCCTCCTCCTCGTCCTCCTCCTCCTCCTCCTCGTCCTCGTCCTCGTCCCGTCCTCGTCCTCGTCCTCGTCCTCGCCCTCGCCCTCGTCCGTCCTCGTCGTCCTCGTCTCGTCCTCCTCCTCCTCCTCCTCCTCCTCCTCCTCCTCTCCTCCTCCTCCTTCCTCCTCCTCCTCCTCCTCGTCCTCCTCCCCCTCCTCCTTCGCCTCCTCCCCCTTCTCCAAGCGCCCGCGCCCATGGCGAAGACTTGGGCCCTGCCCCCCTTCAACTCCACTTCCGCCTCCCCTGCCTCCGCGTCGACGAACCGCCCCTCCTCGCCCACCACCTCACGCACCTCCCTCACCTCCTCGATGCCCCCCTAGACGCCCTCTCCGACGCCCTCCGCCGTCGACTCCGCTGGGCACCCAGGCTGGTCACGATGGTGCTGCCAGGGCGTAGCTAGCGTCGACGCTCTCGACGGCGCCGTCGAGGACGCAGGCGCCACCAGAGCAGCGTCGCACGCGTCGCCCTCCCCGCCAGCGGCGACGGCCTTCCCCGCACCCTGCCCCAAGTCCTTCCCCGCGCCTTCCTCGTCCTCCTCCACCACGCGCGCGTCGGCGGCCAGCGCACCCAGGCCGCCGACGCGCGGCCAGCCAGAGGCCCGCGCGGGCAGCAGCAGCGGCGGCCGCAGCGCAGGCGCCCACAGCGGCGGCGGCGGCCGCGCCTGGAGCGCCGGCGGCGTCGACAGCGCCAACGCCAGCGGCGTCGGCAGCGTCAGCGGCGCCAGCGGCGCAAGGCGCGGGGGCCCACAGGGGGGCGCGGGCCGCGCCAACGCTCCCGATGGCGTCGGCGGCGCCCGCGCTGCCGGCCGAGGCGGGCGGCCAAGCCGCGCTGGCCGCGCCGACCGCCCACGGGACGTCGGCGGCGCTGGCAGCGACGGCCGAGGGGGCGCCGGCCGCGCCGGCGGCGCCAGCAGGACGGTGCACTGGGCCGCGCCGAAATGCCCGGGGGCGTCGACAGCGCCTGTGGCGCCCGCGGGGGCGAGAGGGCGAGCAGCCCAGCCCGCGCCGACCGGCGGCGGCGCCAGCAGCGCCGGAAGCGCTCGCAGGTGCAAGCGCGCCGCCGAGAGCCGGCAGCACCAGCCGCGCCAGCGGCGCCAGAGAGCCCCAGCGGGCCCGCGACGACCGGGGCGCCAGCGGCGGCGGCAGCCAAGCGGCGACCGGCAGCGGCACGGGCCTGCCGCCGCCCCAAACACACACGTTCCCCCTCCTCACCTTCCTCGACCTCCACTCCCTCTTCCGCCTCCTCGACCTCCTCCACTTCCCCTTTTTTAACCCCCTCCTCCTTATCGACTCAATTTTAGGATCGAGGAGGAGGACGACGAGGAGGATTAGTATTCCGAATCCTCTTCCTCCATCTCTCCTCCTCCTTCTCCGCCTCCTCCTCCTCCTCCTCCTCCTCCCCTCCTCCTCCTCCTCCTCCTCCTCCTCGTCCTCCCTTCCTGCTCCTCCCCCTCCTCCTCCTCCTCCTCCCTCCTCTCCTCCTCCTCCTCCTCCTCCTCCTCCTCTCCGCCTCCTCCTCCTCCTCCTCCTCCTCCTTTTCTTAATATTATTATTTATTACCAGTATCAGTCGTCTTCTTCGTATTGTTATTAGTATTCTTCCTTTTTTAACAATACTATGATTAGCCGTATTATTGTTATTAAGATTAATCATGGTATTCGTGTTATTAGTATTAGTATCACTACTATCATCAGTATTAATAATATGCTTTAGTATTACTATTAATTGTAGACTTATTCTTCTGATTCTTATTATGTATCATTATTATTCTTAGTATCATTAGCAGGATTACTACTATTTTCTTATGATTACTATTACTGGTATTATTATGTTGAATATTATCACTCCTCCTCCTCCTCCTGCTCCTCCTCCTCCTCCTACTCATCATCATCATCATCATCATCATCATCATCATCATCATCATCATCATCATCATCATCATCAGCAGCAGCAGCAGCAGCATCAGCATCATCGTCATCATCATCATCATCATCATCATCATCATCATCAGCATCATCATCATCATCATCATCATCATCATCATCATCATCATCATCATCATCATCATCATTATCAGTATCATCATCAGCATCATCACCATCATCATCATCATCAGTATCATCATCATCAGCATCAGCATCAGCATCAGCATCAGCATCATCAGCATCGTCATCATCGTCATCATCATCCTCATCATCATCCTCATCATCATCATCGTCAACAGCATCATCAGCATCAGCATCATCAGCATCATCATCATCAGCAGCATCATCACCAACATCACCAACATCATCATCATCATCATCATCATCATCATCATCGTCATCGTCCTCCTTCGAAGTTCCTCCTACACCCCCAGTCCTGCTCCTCTGCCCTACTCCTCCTCCTTCTCCTCCACCTCCTCCTTCCCCTCCTCGTCCTATACCTCCTCTTCGTCCTCCTCTTCCTCCTCCTCCTCCTCCTCCTTGTGGGATTGTTTTTCCTGTCCCACCCCGAGGCCAGTCGGAAGGGCGGGCCGGGCGTTTCGCCTGGGCCTTCATTACCACTTATGAGCCTGAAGCTTCACACGTGGAGGGCGGGTGGTTTTCGGAATGTGGCTCTCGCCCTAACGCCCCACACATTCGTTGGGAAAACGTGCAAGAATGTCACGGATTGAGGGCGGGTCGTCTTCAAAATGTGGCTCTCGCCCTAGCGCCGCGGACACTCGTTTTAAACATTTACGAGAGTTCCACGGATTGACGGCAGGTGATTTTCAAGATGTGGCTCTCGTCTTAGCGCCACGCACATTCGTTTGAACAATGTGCACGAGCTTCACGGATAGAGGGCGGGTCGTTATAAAGCAAGTGCCTGGGCTCCACGGATTCAGGGCGGATACTTTTCAACCTGTGGCTCTCGCCTTAACGCCGCGCACGTTCTCGAACGAGTCAGGATTGTCAGGGCGCAACAGTTGCGTATATTCGCGGTGCTGAAGCCCCAGGAGTGGCATTCTGGCACGATTCACATTTGTCAAAACGCGAGAATCAGGGTGACTCATGGCGTTGAAGTCCCTGACTGTTTTTTTTGGCACGCTTCATGATGTTCACACGGTTCTCTTCCAACGGGGCACGTCCCACAGTGGAAATGAATATTAATATGGAGCCTATGAAGAAGGCCAACCGTTGATGAGTCTTGGGCTTAACCTGGCCCTCCTCCTCCTCCTCCTCACCTTCCTCCTACTCCTTCTTTGCCTCCTCCCCCTCCCCCTCCCCTCCCCCCTCCCCCTCTCCCCTCCCCCCTCCTCCTCCTCCTCCTCCTCCTCCTCCTCTCCTCCTCTCTTCCTCCTCCTCCTCCTCCTCCTCCTTCCCCTTTTCCTCCTCTACCTCCTCCTCCTCCTCCTCCTCCTCCTCCTCCTCCTCTTCCTCCTCCCCCTCCTCCTCCTCCTCTTCTCCTCGTCCTCCTTGACACCCCCAACCCGCGCGCCGCGTTCCTGTCCAGAGGCACTGGCGCACCTGCATGCCAGCGTACCCGATCATGAAGCCGTGGACGCCGCGGGTCCGCATGATGTGCTTGGCGATGTCGGCGGACCTGCGCGGCCCGGGCGACCCCCCCCTGGGACCTCGAGCGGGGCATTATAGGCTGGGTGCGGGCCCCGAAAATATAAGAAAATGATCAGCAGCCTCCAGCACCTCCTCAGCAACCAGCAGTTCGGCAGATACCAAGACAAGCGCAAGTACCCGCATCGGCGTTACCAGGAGAACGACCTTCGGAAGTCTTGGACAGCACATTGGAGACGACATCCAGGACTGGATCGTCCATCTTGGCACCGGCTGCAGGCGAAATCCCACCTAGACCTCCATATGATCAACCAGGACAAGCAGCACGACAACCACAGCAGAAGAGATCGGTATCTATGGACAAGGACGCGGACATTCCAGACGAGTTGCTTCCACCTCCTGACGACAATGCGTCAAGAGCAGCATTACCTGTTCAGTGGAAGAACGTTCCCGTTCCAGGATCACCGATAGTAGTCGGCCCTCTGAATGAGAGTCAAGACTACCACTCTCACCTGTCCCAGGCACACCAAGAACATCGACATCGGCGTTACCGAGACCTCACGATGAAGACGGATCGCGGACACAGACATCAATATTGAAGCGACAAGCTACAACGACACCCAAGTGGCCTCGGCGGCAGCAGGTGAAGTTCGACGACACGATTGAGGATGCAGAACCCATCTCTCGAGAAGACTCCTAACATGAAGCATCTAACAGCAGCGAACCTGTGCTACCTATCGCAGAGCACCAAATGTGTGTTCGCAACAGAAGCAGACTACGCGAGGTCCGCGAACCAGATCGCGAGGGGGAACGTCAAGAACAACACAGTCCCAGCACCACGAACAGCAATCGCACCTTTGATTATGCACCAGGTCAAGCAGATGCTACGGTAGAATATCCTCAACATGGTGATAGATCGAGGTCAACCTATGGACCAGACAAGGCAGATCTTGACAGCAGCGGAGAACAACAATTACCACCAGGACGCGACGATGATCGCTCATGTTCGGTTCATTTGCCCATTCGAGAGCAGGAGTCATCACCAGATGCGACTATTCAGTATCCCGAGCAGGAGGATGACGACGACGCGACAATCGATTACCAACATCTGCGTGACGATGATCGATCCAGATCGGAACGGAGAGATGATGATTGCGGAGACAGGACTGGAGATTCTTTTTACTGCTCAACGACCGAAGAACTAGTTCATCACAGACAGTACTTTACCAAGAAGACAGATGCCATGCCAGAACTACAAGGACATAGCGAGGAGTTTCACAAGTCACTCGAATTTCAACGCGAGTTGGTGGTAGAACACTTTCTCAATAAGACGAAGCATTTCAACATCATCGACAGCGACGACCTTACGGCAGAAAGGACTCGAGAACAGGCCTTCACAGTGTTTCCCGGACCTTTCGAGCGAGGTCAATGTTTTTACATCGACGTTGTTACTGCCGAGTGCTTTGTTACAGTTTCCGACGCGTTGATTCTCGGCCCAAAGGATATCGCAGAACACTTTGAGTTGGTCGATGAAGCGGACAGGAAGGAGATCAAGCAGTTCGTGGAAGCTCATGTTTGGAAACCTATATCTATCGGCAGATGTTCCCGACATCCAGTTGATTGCGCATGGGTTCGCAAGTGGAAGCAGATCAAGGTTGGCAACGAGCTCGAGTGGATTATTCAGAGCAGACTCTGTGCACGAGGATGTCTTGACAGTCAAGGTGCATCGTTACCAAAGAGAGCTACCACAACAAAGATAGTATCCCACCGGCTACTTCTTATTTCTCTGGCGGCAATATACGACATCAAGATTGAAAGCTGGGACGTTACAGGAGCATTCTTAAAGGATCTACCCTTCAAGCAGATGTGCGACATACTGAGAAAGCGCGGAATCAAGTCACCAGAGCGGCAGGGGATTCATCACACCACCGGCCAATGTATGGAGACACCTTCGTGGCATTGATGGAGCTTTTCGTGTAGCGCAATCAGGTTGCACACATTTGTGGGCGCTCGAGTGTTTGAAAAGCAATTCATGGATTAGATTATGCACCACTGGCGTTGAAGGTGGTCAGGCAGATGTTCATGACGGACACACTTGGCGGCAGACCTTCGGCGCTATGATTGCGTTTATTTCTGGATGGCAGGACCAGGCGAGCACAAAGCTATAGCAACTTCTGATGTGGACGATGACAGCAACGCCACTACCAGTCCATGGCTGAAAGAATATTTCGGGAAGTTTTCGACACGCTTTGGAGGAGCTACGCGACAGCAACCACCTATGATTCATGTTGGAGTAAAGCACGAGAAGACGGACTTCGGTATGAAATGTCACAGGATGAGTTGTGTCAGAAGTTGCAGCCAATTCCCCCTCACAAATCGCGAGCTCAGCAAGACGACTCACCACTTACAAGACAGGAGTTGGCAGCATTCAGAGGACTTCTTGGTGGACTGTTATGGTTATGTGAGACGAGATTGGATGCTATCGCAGACGCAATGATTATTCATCATAATACCCAGTCGGCAACCATCAAGCACATCAAGATGGCGAGCACGTTGTTGATTCGAGTGAAAAAATACGCAGATGGACTTGATATATACTTTCCACGGTTGACACCTCCGCTTGTGATCGATACTGTGGCAGATCCCAGCGGAGCTACCTCAGGCAGTTCGTATGCTCAAGAAGCAGTACTGATCCTACTCGGCTCTGACAAGAAGGTATCGGTTATGCCCACAACGTCTATTCATGATCAACAAGTCCAAGACTCGAAGGGCCAGCTCAGCAAGTTCGTTCCCATTTATTGCTTCGTTATCACACAAGGCCAAACGAGCTTCAGGAAGTACCTCACGGGCAGAAACGTTGGCAGGAGTATTTGGCAAAGATTGGCTCAAATGATAATAATGCATTTGACAGAAATATTCGCACCCGGTATCCAACTCCCATTGAATACGCCCAGCAGTATGAAGGACCTGATCAATGTCCGGGACAATGCAGAGTTCATAATTCCGCCAGACCATCGGACATATTGCAGGGACTTCTTTGAATTTAGCGTTGGATTAGAAGGTGTACCCCAGGATCGACACACCAGAGGGGGAATGTACTTTCGGTTCGTGAGGACAGGCTTCGAGGATATATTCGACGGTTTTTCTGGTGTCCTACTACGGCGATGGTGGCAGATGGACTGACTAAAAACATGTTATCGGAAATACTGTATGACTGGATCACATATGGTTACTGGCGTGTGGAAACAAAAGGGATCGAGTGTCTGGTCGCGACGATCGAGGCCCCAGCTATTACATCGACCGAGAACGACCTTATACAGATGAAACCTTCGTGGGCAGAATCACCCTGGGTATGCACAATACTTACTATGATGGACTGATTTCAATGTTGGCAAAGTTAACCATATCCGCTTAAATGATGACGAACCAACACCTGGTAACGTTGACGATATCCGATTTGATGATGATCCAATGCCCAGGAAAGTTGATGATATCCGATTGTGAGTCTCGAGGGTGACTATTTGATGAGCAACGGTGAGGCGTTCCTAGAGTATTTCACGCTCTGCGGCCTCTACGATAAGCTCTACGTGGCCGGCTACAGGTACCCCCAGGTTGGCGAAGTCTGACCCCATTGTTTGGGGTCCGTGGTCGGTAGCTCCGCACTGTTTATGTACTAATCAAGTACTCGGCTCTTCCAAGCCCTTACCAGCCTGGAACATATCCTATCCCTATGCTGGGCATCTCCACATTGCGATGCCAGTCTTAGGGATTCCTTACTTTTTGAGGGCGCATCCCTAAGATTGTCATCGCTTTTTGGTGTGTCAATCTTAAGGGTAGGGATAAGTTCGAGGCTGGTAAAGCCGGGAGGACCAGAGTCAGAAGTTTGGCATGTGTAGAGAGGTAAGTAGAAGCATGATGCAGATCATTTAGCAAGCAGTTATTGTACGAAGGTGTCTTGGGTCAAGCGTACCAAAAATCAGACTGGCGGAGGGGAGGGGAGGGGAGGCGGAGGGGACGGGGAAAGAGGGGACGTGGAGGGAAGAGCGACAGAGGGGATGTGGAGGGAGCGGAGGATGCAGGGGACGGGGGGGGGAGAGGCGGCGGGGGGGGGGGGCAAGGGAGCGGTGAGAGAGGCCGGGGAAGCGCTCTGGGAGCCATGGGCTCGGCGGCCAGGGAAGGAGGGAGGAGCGGCATGGTGCGGCGCGGCGCGGAGGAGGAGGGGAGGGAGGGGGGAGTGGACGGGGGGGGGGGGTAGAGGGAATAGGGAACGGGGGGGAAAGGGAGCGGAGGGAGTGGAGGAGGAAGGGAGCGAGGGAGCGGAGGGACGGAGGCAGCGGGCGGAGGGGGCAGTGGGGGGAGGAGGGGGCGGAGGGAGCGGAGGAGGGGGAAGGGAGCGGGGAAAAGAGAGGGGGGGAGTGGAGAGAGGGGAGGGGGGCAGGAGGGCAACCGGGCACGCCGGCGACCCGGAGAACTTGCCGTCTTTGTCCAGCTGTGCCGCGAGCTTGATGTTCTCCAGGGGGGAGATGGCGAGCACCTGCGGGGGGGCGCTTTTCGCCGCTCCGCGAGCAGAGGGGCGGCGGGGAGCCGCGTCGGGCAGGCCGTCGGGGCGGCCCTGCGAGAGCCACAAAACGGCGGCGACACCGCCCTGTTCATCGTCAACGTTTGCCGCCTCGTCCTCGTTCCTCCTGCTCCTCCTCCTCCTGCTCCTCCTCCTTCTCCTCCTCCTCCTCCTCCTCCTCCTCCTCCTCCTCCTCCTCCTCCTCTGCCTCATCCTCCTCCTCCCTCCCCCTCCGCCTCCTCCTCCGTTTCCTCCACCTCTTCCTCCTCCCCCTCCTCCGCCATATCCTCCATATCATCCACCAGATCATCATGTTTACACTTTTCCTTTTCTTCATCCTCTTCCTCGTCGCCCTCATCATCATCATCATCATCATCATCATCATCATCATCATCATCATCATCATCATCATCATCATCATCATCATCATCATCATCATCATCATCATCATCATCATCATCATCATCATCATCATCGTCGTGGTCGTCGTGGTCGTCGTCGTCATCAGCAGCAGCATCATCATCATCATCATCATCATCATCATCACCACCATCATCATCATCAGCAGCATCATCATCAGCATCAGCATCATCATCATCACCATCATCATCATCAGCAGCATGATCATCATCATCATCATCATCATCCTCATCATCATGATCATAATCATCATCAGCATCATCATCACCGTCACCACAACCACAACCATCATCATCCTCACCGTCATCAACACCAACAAAACCATCATCATCAGCAGCAGCATAATCATAGCCAGCATCATCACCATCATCATCATACCATCATCAGCATTATTAGCTTAACCGTCGTCAACATAATCATCACCCGCATCATCACTCACAACCATCACCATCATCATAATCAGCATCAGCAGCATCCTCCTCATCATCCTCTTCCTCTTTGACGTTGCACAAGCATAGATCGGAGACCGTCGCGTTATCATCATTCCCCTACTCCTCCTCCTCCTCCTCCTCCTCCTCCTCCTCCTCCTCCTCCTCCTCCTTTTCCTCCTCCCCTTTCTCCTCCCTCTGACGCCGCGCGGTTCTCACGCAGCAGCATTGGAGCGCCAAATGCAATGGAGCATACCAAATTTGCCGACGCGGGCAAAACGCCAGAACGAATCGGGCCCGGCGGGCGCAGTAGGAGAAGGAGGGGCTGAGAGGCGCGGAGACATCGCGGGGTCCAGGCGCGGGGGAGGGGGAGGAGGAGGAGGAAGAGGAGGAGGAGGAGGAGGAGGAGGAGGAGGAGGAGGAGGAGGAGGACGGGGAGGGGAAGGGGGAGGGGGAGGGGAGGAGGAGGAGGATCAGGAGGAGAAGGAGGAAGAAGAGGAGGAGGGGCTGACAGGCGCGAAGAGGCTTCCAAACAACCGCCGAGCATCTCCAACAGCCGCCGAAAACCTCCTCGTCCTCGTCGTGCTTCTCCTTCTTTCCACCCCCCCTCTTCCCCTTCCCGCTGCCTCCTGCTCCTCCTCGTCCTCTGCATCCTACTGCTCCTGCCCTTCCCCCCTCCACCCCCCTCCACCTCATCATGATCGTCCTCATCCTCCTCCTCATCCGACTCCGTTACCCCCATTCCCAATCCTCACCATCATCCTCACCGCTCGCCGTCGTCGCCGGTCTTGACCGACATCGTGCGCTTCCGGCCGTTACGGAACATCACGGATCGGCGGCACTGGCCAGAGGCCACTACAATATGCGGGCGCCTCAAGTGCACGCTCCAAAGCCCGGCATCATCTTGGTACCCGTCCCCCGCGAGACCCTCCCAGTAGGCATCTCTCAAGCCGTCTCAGTCCAGACGTGCAGCGCTCGAGAGAAACGAGCACGTTGAAATTATGCTAACGGAGTTCCCCACATAAAGAGATTAACGGTTTCGTGGGACCCATTTTCTTGATGCCCTCCTCGCTTTGGCGGGGCCCCGCTGGAAGGGGGGAGGGCTACGAAACCTGGCGAAGAGTAATGCTTTCCGCGACCCTCCTCGTTCAAGCGCGGCCTCTCTGGAGGAGTGGAGGGGGGGCACGAAACCGTGTAAACAGCATGTTTTCCGATACTCTCCAGGAAGAGGAGGAGGAGGAGGAGGAGGAGGAGGAGGAGGAGGAGGAGGAGGAGGGTTTTCGGATATCCTCCTCGCTCAGGCGGGGCCTCCCTGCAGAGGTGGGAGGGGCACGAAACCATGTAAATAGTATGGTTTTCGGATACCCTCCTCGCTCAGGCGGGGCCTCCCTGGAGGTGTGGGAGGGGCACGAAACCATGTAAATAGTATGGTTTTGCCTCCCTGGAGAGGTGGGATGGGGCACGAAACCATGTAAATAGTATGGTTTTCGGATACCCTCCTCGCTCAGGCGGGGCCTCCCTGGAGGGGTGGGAGGGGCACGAAACCATGTAAATAGTATGGTTTTCGATACCCTCCTCGCTCAGGCGGGGCCTCCCTGGAGGGGTGGGAGGGGCACGAAACCATGTAAATAGTATGGTTTCCGATACCCTCCTCGCTCAGGCGGGGCCTCCCTGGAGGGGTGGGAGGGGCACGAAACCATGTAAATAGTATGGTATTCCGATACCCTCCTCGCTCAGGCGGGGCCTCCCTGGAGGGGTGGGAGGGGCACGAAACCATGTAAATAGTATGGTTTTCCGATACCCTCCTCGCTCAGGCGGGGCCTCCCTGGAGGGGTGGGAGGGGCACGAAACCATGTAAATAGTATGGTTTTCCGATACCCTCCTCGCTCAGGCGGGGCCTCCCTGGAGGGTGGGAGGGGCACGAAACCATGTAAATAGTATGGTTTTCCGATACCCTCCTCGCTCAGGCGGGGCCTCCCTGGAGGGTGGGAGGGGCACGAAACCATGTAAATAGTATGGTTTTCGGATACCCTCCTCGCTCAGGCGGGGCCTCCCTGGAGGGTGGGAGGGGCACGAAACCATGTAAATAGTATGGTTTTCCGATACCCTCCTCGCTCAGGCGGGGCCTCCCTGGAGGGTGGGAGGGGCACGAAACCATGTAAATAGTATGGTTTTCGGATACCCTCCTCGCTCAGGCGGGGCCTCCCTGGAGGGGTGGGAGGGGCACGAAACCATGTAAATAGTATGGTTTTCGGATACCCTCCTCGCTCAGGCGGGGCCTCCCTGGAGGGGTGGGAGGGGCACGAAACCATGTAAATAGTATGGTTTTCCGATACCCTCCTCGCTCAGGCGGGGCCTCCCTGGAGGGGTGGGAGGGGCACGAAACCATGTAAATAGTATGGTTTTCCGATACCCTCCTCGCTCAGGCGGGGCCTCCCTGGAGGGGTGGGAGGGGCACGAAACCATGTAAATAGTATGGTTTTCCGATACCCTCCTCGCTCAGGCGGGGCCTCCCTGGAGGGGTGGGAGGGGCACGAAACCATGTAAGTAGTATGGTTTTCGGTATGGAGTGGTATGGAATGGTATGGTAGGTATGGTATGGTACGGTATGGTATGATATGGTATGGTATGGTACTGGAGGTATGGTATGGTATGGTACGGTGTGGCATTGGTGTGATATGGTATGGTATGCTATGGTACGCCATGGTATGGTATGGTACGGTATGGTGTGGTATGGTATGGTATGGTATGGTATGGTATGTGTGGTAGGAACTATGGTATGGTATGGTGTGTGTGGTAGGAATAATATTGTGCTGTATGGAAGATGGAGCGGGAGGTGGGTGGGAAGGAGAGGGTGTTCTGGGAAAACAAGAACCCCACTCAGGATGTGGGGGAAAAAGTGCGGGAGAGGCAAGGCTAGGGGCAGCGTGATACGTCCTGGCGCGGGGCTGCCACGAAATGAACACGCTGGCCTCTGCGTAGAGAATACGAAATGAATAAGGCTGGCTATAATTGAATTACTGCGCTGGCGGAAAGGAGGCAAACGCATCAGCATCCTCCTCCTCTTCCACTGCCTCCAACGCCCATCGCAAGAAGTTGGAGCCGCGCAAAAAGAGCAAGTGCGAGCGGCGGCAATTCTTGGGCTGCCGCCAAGGATCTGCTGGTCCACCCCTAACCGCCACGGCCCCAGAACCATCGCGCCGCCCGCTAACTTTTCCGGGTGGAGCACGAACCCTTGGCACCAGCAGGTGCGCGGATGAGAGCGGCATCGGCTGCGCGCGCCGACTGGCGCCGCCGACCGCGCGGCCACAGACTGGCCGGCGCCGCGCAGGCCAGCCTGCGCAGGCTGGCCGGTGGTTCTGCCCGAGTAGGAGCTTAAAGCCTGGAGCCAGAGGAGCCGAATCGAGGGGGCCACCCCCCGCGTGCCAGGGGGGCCCAGGAATGAGGACGAGCTCCGAACTCCAACGCGCCTCGCCATGCCCAGGCCCCCCCTGCCGGCCCAGTCCCGTGGCGCAGCTCACAAGTCAAGACGGCGATGGAGCAAGCAGGAGGATCGAACCAAATGCGGCACGGGCCGCGCTGAGTGGAGCACGAGAGTAGCAGACAGGCAACTGCGGGGCAAGATGGGGCCGCGCACTGGAGCAACGGGTACCCGAAAGGCAGAGTGTCTGGTCTGCAAAAGTAACTAGCCCGCGGTACGTTTGAGACCTGTCTGCAGTGGGCGATGCGTCGGCTGGCCAGCTGCACCGAGGACCCCCGCCCCCCGCGCCCCCCAGCCCCACCAACCCCTCGAGTACTTGCGATAGGCCGGCATTGCCTGGCCCTGAACGCAATGCGCAAGAAGCGTTCAAGTCCGAGGCAGATGACGGAATTAATCACGAAGGCTGGCACATTCAAAGGCTGGCTTGCGCGGCGCAGCACCTGCTGCAGCCCGCGCGCCAGCGCGGCCGCGCACAGGCGGCTCAAAGCTGAAAAAAGAGAACGCAGCGCGAGACTGAGCGGCAGAAGCGCGCGGGGCTGCACGCGGAGGGAAGCGCCAAATGCACGGCACGTAATCTTCATACTGCCGATGAGGGCTGGCTCCCTATCTGGCACGGCTGAGGCTGGCATCTACAATTTGCTGGCAGGCAGACCATGCGACAGGTGCGTCGATAATGACAGATGAAGGGCGCCGATCGGGGAACCGCGAAAGGCGGGGGCTTGCAAGAGATAAGTGTCAAATGCAAAGGCTGCCGAAGATAGAGGCGCACCTGCCGCGGCTCTTCAGCAGGCAACAACGACGGGGAAGAAGAGGGGAGGGCAGGGGAGTGACGCACCGAAAGAGGCGGGCGTCAATGCCTCCGCAAGCAGAAGTACAGGGCCTCGGCCTTGACCCCCCCCCAATTAGCGAGGCACTCCCCCTGCCCGCCGCGGCAGGTTGAGCGAGAAATCCCAGGGGGGCAGGGAAGACGAACGACAGGCGATAGAAGGAAGAGCCTTGTCACCAACATACTGGGGAGCAAGAGAAGCGGGAGGAAAGCCTTCAGAACTCCTCGGTCTGCGGTAATTGCTGCACTGGCGAATACTGTCGTGGATGTAGCAAGGTAGAAGACCCCGCCTCTGCAATCCCTGTCGCTGTACAATCCAATCTTGGTAACCAGAGCAGACTGCATCATGCGCGGTACGTCTATCATCCCCAGCACGGGCTGCCCAGACGCACCGACTGCCATCCTGGGCCCAGCAACTGCGCGATGATTCCCGCCATCGGGCCCTCGACGTGATGTCAGCGCCTGTTGGGCTACATGGACTGGAGATTCGCGTAGATCATCTGCCAGCCTCGCTGGCACCTCTTGAGCTCCGTCGGGCGCTCAACGATGGCAAGCAAGAACTGATTGACCTGATCCGCGATAGCTCGGGCCATCGCCTCCTGCACTCCTCTCTGCGCGCGCCCTCCAGCGAGGAAGGCTGCCTCTGTGGCGCTCACAGGTCGCGCCTCGGTCGGTGCGACGCCGCGGGCCGGTAGGTCCCATGCTTGCTGGCATTGGGCCCCTGCTGCGCGCACTTTCGCTGCACCGCGTCCGTCTTCGCAGGCCCTTCAGCTCGGCGATCCCCTGCCCAGCCACGGCTCGCCGCGTCGAGTGCGCTGGGCGCGCAAGCTTCCGACCCAGGCCCACGTCGACTCCCAGGTCGCGAACCGCGCCTGGTTGTCTGCGCGGCGTTCCCAAGCTGGCGAGGACGCTGGCTACTTCCTCCTGCAACTCCAAGTCCGAATCGACCACTGCCGTTTTGCTCGAGGTTGGGTCGGGTAACTTTGCGAAGCCTGCATGAAAAATCCCCGCCCCGCGCCTGATTCTGTCGACGACCGCCCTTCGAGCTCCATCGACCTGCAGGGCCAGGTCGCCCAGGTACTGCTGGAGGGCCACGAAGAGGTAGCGCTGGCGCGCGGCGTCGAGCACTCCGTAAAATAGCGGCCTGATCAGATCTAGAGCTTGTCCGCCCACTGCCACCATGCCGTTGGCTGGCTCAGACACGTCGGAGAAAAGGCCGCGGGCCATGATTGCCATCGGCGCGAAGTACATCTGGATGACCATGATCAGGCGCAGCATTGGGCAGTTCATGTCGCCGGCTTTGTCAATCAGCTGGCCCAGGCCAATGTTGTCATAGAGGTTGGCGGCGTCGTAGTAGATGCCCGCGGCGTGGAGACCCATCTGGACTGCCGCCCCCGCTCTCAGCCGCCTCTGCACTGCCACTCCAAGTGCCGAGGAGCCCGCCACTGTCGTGTCCCAGAAGCCAGCTGCTGCCGTGCTCCACGTCGAAATCACTGGCCTACGTGCTGCACTCCAGGTGCGGCAGGGCATGGGCATAAGACATATGCGACGTCATCCCCCTATGCCTGGCTCCTTGCCCAGCAGGAGCTAGCTGACCTAGTAGACTTGCCAGGGCCGCGCCGACTTGCTCGCAGGCGACGAGCAGCTCCACGAAGACGTCGAGGCCCTGCTCCCCCATTGCACGTAGCTCTGGAGCTCGCCACCGTTCTGCGCCATGGGGCCTGCATTGCGCTTGAGGTGCTGGACGATGGACCCGATGACCAGCTGGCGAAGTGGTTCCAGGGCGCGGTCATGGCTGAGGGCCGCCTTGCGCAACTTCGCCAAGGTTGCCTGGATGACCCGGGCCTCCTGGGCATCGCGCGTCCACGTCCTCTCCCAGGCCTCCGTCCATAAGACGACCAACCACTGCGGGTGTGTGACTATCTGGCCCTCGTGCTCCGGGATATCCTCAAGGTGACCGCGCTCTGTTGCCTCGGCGCGCGCGTGGGCCATCTGCGCGCTTCCTGACGTCGCGTCGTCAATCCAGTGGATGTAGGCGGTCTTGGTCGCCTTGGCCAAGGTATTGGCTGCCTCTTTGGCTTCCTGCCAGCCAGCTGGATGGTGTCTGGGTCCACGCAGGCGCCGTCTGCTATACTGGTGAAGGCCGCGATGAGCTGCTCGTACATGGCCCTGGCCTCCTCTTCCACTGGCGGCTCGACTGGGTCCCGAAGCCGTCGCTTCAGCTGTAGTCGGGCCTGCGCTTGCTGCTGGGTGTGCTTGTTCTCTTTCTTGCCAGCCTCTGGCCCTTTCGCGCCCGGCATGCTCGGCGACTTTGAACCTGGGAGGCCACCCCCAGGACTTTTCATTATAACGCCAACAGGAAGGGAACGTGACGACGCGATGCCTGGGAGGCCACCCCCAAGGCGTTGCGCTCCAACTCCTGTCAACACACATGGCGACGCCGAACCTGGCGGGCACCCGCGGGCGCCTCCAAAATTTGGCGCACTGGCGCCTTCACTTTCCGCTTCTGAGCCACTCGGATCCCCCGCTCTTCCCATCAACGCGACGGCGCGGCACCTCTCGGGCCCCTGCCCGACTCCGCAGCGCGGTTGCTGCTCGGCGCCCCTGACGTCGTCGAAGGGTCGTAGTCTCCAAGGTCCACGGTGTTGGAGCCTCGCCGCCTGCGGTTATCATCATGTTTCTTGTTTGTTCTTCCTTCTGGTCGCCCTCCTGCTGGCAGCCATCGCTCGCCTGGTCCAGCTGGCCCCGCGCAGCTGGCGGCACTCCGAACGGCCCTCCTCCTCCTCGAGAGGGTCGAGCTCTAGGATGCCCGCGGTGCTGCGTCCAACTGCCGGGGGGAAAGGGCCCCCTCTGCAACCCTTCTGGTCTGCAGTCGCCGCACTCACTAGCGTCAGTCTGGCCCTCCTTCTCCGCGTCGCGGTCGCTCTGCCCGACCCCCTCGTGAGCGCCGTCGACAATGGCGGCGTGGGCCTCGGTAGACTGCTCCTCCTTGGCATAGGCCCGGCTGACTCTGAGGTGCGAGAGCTGCTCGGCGCCCCCTACATCGACGAAAGGGTCGATGTCCTCAAGGTCCAGGCCGCCCTCCTCCTCCTCCGCTGGGTCAAGCTTTGGGGTGTCCACGGTGCTGCGTCCTGCTGCGGGGGGAAGGGCACCCCTCTGCGTTTCTAGTCTGCCGTCGCCGCTCTCGCTGGCGTCGGTCTCGCTCTCTTCATCCGCGCCGCCGCGGCTCTTCCCGATCTCGTCGCGCGCGCCGTCGGCGGCGGCGGCGAGGGTCTCAGCGAGCTGTTCCTACTTGGTTCTGTCCCCGCAGACTTTGGAGCCATGCCCCAGATTCTCCTCTTGCTTTCTATTCGGGCGCCTCTGGCCGCCCCCCCTCTGGCAGCGCCCGCCTTCGCGGTCCTGCTGGCCCCCGCGCGGCTGGCGGCGGTGCATCGAGCCGCCCTCGCCCTCCTCGATGGGGTCGGGCTATCGGCTGTCCGCGGTGCTGCGCCCTGCTGATGGTTGAAGGGGGCCCCTCTGCAACCCGTCTGGCTGGTCGTCGTAGCGCAGGCTGGCGAAGGCCTGGTCCAGAATCTCCCCCTGCTCTCTCGAGGCCCCCCTGGCCGCCCCCCCCCCCCGGTCGCGCCCATGCTCGGGGCACCGCAGGTCGTCGCGCAGCTGGCGGCCCACCGCCTCGATGGTTTCGGGCTCTGGGCTGTCCCAGATGCTGCGTCCCACTGTTGGGGGAAGCGGACCCCTCTGCAACCCCTCTGGTCGGCAGTCGTCGCGCTGGCTGGCGCGGGCCCGTCGCGCCGCCTCCACGCCGCGGCGCTGCCCGCAGTCAGTGGTGCTCCTTCTGGCGCCGCCTCCGCCACCTCCTGTCTGCCGCTGCCGCGGCGGCGCAGGGAAGGCCCTGACCCCGCCTGGCGGGGGCGCGACCCAAGTAGCCCCCCGCGCCCTTCGACGGGCCCATGGCGGGCGAGGGGGGCCCGCCTTCGCTGGCCACCTGGCCCTTTGACGTGACGGGCGCAGCCCGAGGCGCCGACCGGCCCGCTCCACCCCAGAGTCTCGTCGGCATGCACCTCAGCCCCCGCTGGGCCTCGGCGCTCCGCGCCCGCTTCCAAGGCCCGAGCATCACGATGCCCCAGCTGGCGCGGGGGCGACGAGACCTCCGCCCACAGCGCGCGCACCTTCCGCTCCACACCTGCCCACGGGGGTGACGACACCGCGCCCCCGGTGCTGAGGTGCATAAACTTGGGCGGGAGGCTGCGCCCTAGGTCCTTCTCTCTTTCAGCTACTGGGATGCCGACGCTCCGGCGCAGGCCGAGCCCCAGCGCGCCCGCGAAATGGCCGCAGAGCTCTCCTCAGGCAAGCATGTCCGCGCCGAGCTCCCTGCCCGCGACAATGCCCTGCAGGCGACGCGGCTGCCCCCCTCGGGTTCTGACAGTTATCTCCGCGGTCGTGGCCGCCCAGGTCTCGCCGGGGAGGACGCGCGGGACTTCTCTGTCGTGGCAAAGCTGCGGCACTCGGTCTGCGTCATTGTCTGGGTAATCTAGCACTGCCTTTGCCAGCGCCTGCTGTCTCCCCCCGAGGGCTTCCTGTTCCCCGTGCGCTGCTCGGCGGCAAGCTCCCCCTGGACTTCGGCATCTGCTCGACCGACGCCAGCGGCTCGATGGCTGCTGGTCCGCGGGAAGCCTGCCCTTCGAGCCGTTTCGGTCTCCTTGGGCTCAAGCCCGAGGCCGACGCGCGGCCCCCAGGGGACCGCCCCGATGAGTTCCAGCTCAAAGTGCGGGGCACGCCTTTGGAGATCAGCGCGCAGTCGATGCAGCGGGTAGCGCCTTCCGCTGGGACGCACGCGGCCGACGCTGTCTCTGCCGCAGCGACCTGCGCATCCAGCGCCCTGGGCCAGAAGGTCGCGTTGAACTCCGCCGGCGCAACGTAGAAGTCTCCGAGCGCTGCCCAGGGACCCCCCAGACCGCCATCCTCTGTCGCAGGTCGCAGAGGATATCCACTTTGCGCTCGACGAGGCCGCTGCTGCACTCGAGATAGACGAAGGCCACCGCGAAGCGAACCTGGTGCAGGTTGGCGATAAGCACTGCGATGTCGCTGACGTCCTTACACAGGCAGGCGTCGCTGAACCCTGACGCGCACCGTCTTGCGCAGCTGATGCTCCGCGACGCCCGCAACATCGCGGCCCTCCGCGTCAATGATCTCTCCGCGGTGGCCCTTCGCCTGGGGGGCCCGGGCAGCGATGTGGAAGACATCCGCGTGAAATTGCCGGCGACGTTTCTTCCTCCTCGCCTTCCTGCGACTACCCTGGGGCTGTGCCGTCTGGCCCTTCCACGACTGGCAACGTGGCTCTCTTGGCGTTGGATATTCTCGCGGGCCTGCTGGATGCGCTAATCCACTCGCGTATTCCCATCTTCTGCTGCCCCGATGTCCGCCCGTCCTGTGCCGGCGCCCTTGGCTGCCGCAGCTGGCGTGGCGGGTGCGGAACCAGGGGCTGCAGCCGACACGGGGCCTGCCTCTGCTCCACCAGGAGGGTCTGGCTGCGGGGCTGGGCCGGGGCAGATGCGCTTCCACTGTGGACCTCCATCAGCGGCTCCATCTGCGTCTGCCTGCTCAGGTCGGCGTTTGACGCCAGCCTGCTCGAGCTGGCGCAGCTGCTCCTGATGCTCGGCCGTCGGGTGCGCAAGTACTTAAGGTCGGCTGCTGTTGCCTCTTCCTGCCCCTTAGCTTTCGTTGCTATATATTATCCTCTCGCCTTTGCTGCTCACCATGCATTGTTCTGGATCGGTCGTCTGGCTCGCGCTCGAAATGCTCGAGGAGTGACATGATGTTGGGTTTCCCGGCTGGCGCTGCTGCAGCATCTGCTGATCCGAGGTGTTCTGGCTTGCCGACTTGCACCTTGATCCTGTGGAACTCTTCCTCTGCCTCGATGACTGCTTCCATCGTCTCGTTGAGCCTGCGCTCAATCTGCCATGTGCTGCTTGGCGTTCCCGAAATTATCGCCCGTTGGTCGCATCCTCTTCTGGAGCTTGTCAAGTTTCCGCGCTGCTGCCTCCAGCTTGCGGGCCGACTGGTGGTCCAGCTGCTGACTGCTGAACTGCCACCAGTGCTGGCCAGAGCGCCTCGTAGTGGGCGCGTTCGGGTTCGTCCTTCTTGAGCTTGTTGTGGGCCGTGGCCGCCGCCGTCTGCGCGTCGAAGCTGCGCTGACCTCCGCTGCCGCCCGAGCCTCCTGGTCTCCGGCCATCTGACCAGGAGAGCCGCGGCGTGCTGGCACCTCCTCCTCCCCACTGGTGCTTGGGGGTGCCCATGTCGTCGTCGCGCTAGAAAATAAAGGGAAATTAGGACACACAAATAAATATACACAAATAAAAATAGTCCCCATATTTTCCCATATTTTCTGGGTTTTTGTCTTCCCCCCCACTTCCCATATTTTCCCATATTCTCCTGGGAATCGAGGATTAATGGTGTCTGTGTGTTTTTTTTTCCCTCCCGAGAAAACCTGGCCCGCTGGCGCGAGGCGGGAGAGGCTGGCGCCACAGATGCAAAAGCGTCCTCGCGGCCGGCCGGTGGTCGCCCTGGCAGTAGCGCCACCCGCCACAGTCAGCGCACACCGCGCAGCCACTGCGAGGCGGGCGGCTGCTGCTGCCTCTCCGCCACGGGGGCCTCTCCGCCACGGGGGCCTCCCGTCCAGGCGCTGCCCGCCCAGCTGCTGCCACTGCCGCGCCCCCATGGCTGCGGTGCCGCGCGCGCGCCCGACGCCCGTCTGGGGTTTGTCGTCGGTCCAGAAGTTCCCCTGCTTGCACTGGGGCATTTGCCCCCCGAGAGCTGCCATTTTCAGCGAAAATTGCTACTGGGAGGAAGAGGAGGAGGAGGAGGAGGAGGAGGAGGAGGAGGAGGAGGAGGAGGACGACGAATCGTCAGCTGAAACGGCCTAGAAGGACCACCCCGTGCTTTCGACGAGCCGTGCAAGTGCTAATGAGCACAAGAGATGTTTCGGGAGAACGGGCCAAACCAAATCGGATCACCTCTCAAGTGCGGACATCTCTGATCCCAGAATTGGAGGGACGAGGGAGGGAGGGATGAGAGATGAGAAGAAGTAACATGGATGAACGATGAGAGAAGGGAGGAGGGATGATGGTCGGTCGGGCGGGCGGTCCCTACTGGGGGGTCGGGTCGGTCGGGCGGGGCCGGGTCGGGTCGGGCGAGCGGGACGCGATCAAACTGCGCATCATCGAGCTGGCACGCGAATGCCCTAACGGGCGGGTCGGGTCGGGCGGCCGGGACATTAATGTATGGCGCATCATCGATGTGGGACGCGAGTATTCTACCGGGCGGGTCGGGTAGGGCGGGCGGGCGGACCCGAACGGGCGGGGCGGATCGAGTCGGGCGGGCGGACCCTAACGGGCGGGTCGGGTCGGGTCGCGGGAACGGGCGGGTCGGGTCGGGTCGGGTCGGGCGGGTCGGGTCGGGTCGGGTGGGCGGGACGTTAAAGCATGATGCATCTTCGAGTTGGGACGCGAGTACCCTACCGGGCGGGAGGGGCCGGGCGGGCGGGCGGAACATAACGGGCGGGGACGGGTCGGGTCGGGCGGGCGGACCCTACCGGGCGGGTCGGGTCGGGTCGGGCGGGCGGGACATTAAAGTCTGATGCACCATCGAGTCGGCACGCGAGTACCCTAACGGGCGGGACGGGTCGGGCGAACCCTAACGGGTGGGACGGGTCGGGTCGGGCGGGCGGACTCTGATGGGCGGGCGGGTCGGGTCGGGTGGGCGGGACATTCAAGTATGTTGCATCATCGAGTTGGCACGCGAGTACCTCAAAGGGCGGGTCGGGTCGGGCGGGCGGGACCCCAACGGGGGGGTCCGCTTGGGTGGGCAGGACCCTACTGAATACCTCAATAGTTCTGGGGCGACCATTAGTCCAGTGGGGGGCCCCTGTAATATGGCGGGGGCCCCTGTATTCCCGGGGGGGGGGGCCTTTGTAGTCCGGGGGGGCCCTTGTAATCCAGGGGGGGGGGGGGCCTTGTAGCCCGGGCGGGGTCCTTGTAGCCTGGGGGGGGTCCTGGGGGCCCTTGTAGTGCGGGGGAGGGCCTTTGTAGTCCCGGAGGGGCCCTTGTAGTCCGGGGGGGGCCCTTGTAGTCCGGGGGGGGGTCCTGTAGTACGGGGGGGGCCCTTGTAGTCCGGGGGGGGTCCTGTAGTCCGGGGGGGGGGGGACACTGTGATCTTCGCGGGGCGACGTCCCGCTCGACGACCGCTGAGCGCACGACGTCGTCGTCGTCGGCGGCGGCGTCGTCGTCGTAGTCGTAGTCGTAGTCGTAGCTCTGGGTCGTGGCAATTGTCTATCTGTGGCATCCCGTAGCAAGTGTGCTGGGCGTGGTGGCTGTAGCCCGGGGGTCCTGGAGGTCCTTGTAGTCCGGGGGGGGGCCCTGTAGTCTGGGGGGGGGGGCCCTTGTAGTCCCGGCGGGGGTCCTTGTAGTCCGCGGGGGGGTCCCTGGAGTCCGGGGGGGGGCCCTTGTAGTCCAGGGGGTGGGGCCTTGTTAGTCCGGGGGCCCAGACCTGTTGAGGTACTCAGTAAGGTGCGGGAGGGGCTGGGCGGGCGGGCGGACCCTCATGGTCGGTTCTGGCGGGCGGACCCCAACGGGCGGGTCGGGTCGGGACGGGCGGGCGGGACAAGAAACTGTGATGCATCATCGACTTGGCACGCGACTACCCTAAAGGGCGGGACGGGTCGGGCGGACCCTAACGGGCGGGACGGGTCGGTTCTGGCGGGCGGACCCCAACGGGCGGGTCGGGTCAGGTCGGGCGGGCGGGACATTGAAGAATGATGCGTCATCGATGTGGGACGCGAGTACCCTAACGAGCGGGACGGGTCGGGCGGACCCTAACAGGCCGGACGGCTCGGGTCGGGCGGGCGGAGCCTAACGGGCGGGTCGGGTCGGGTCGGGCGGGCGGGATATGAAAGTCTGAAGCATCATCGACTTGACACGCGAGTACCCGAACGGGCGGGAGGGGCCAGGCGGACGGGCGGACCATAACGGGCGAGACGGGACGAGTCGGGCGGGCGGGTCGGGTCGGGTCAGGCGGGCGGGACATTAAAGTATGATGCGTCACCAAACGGGCGGGACGGGTCGGGCAGACCCTAACGGGCGGGACGGGTCGGGCCGGGTCGGGCGGGCGGGACATTAAAGAATTGCGCATCATCGACTTGGCACGCGAATGCACATACGGGCGGGACGGGTCGGGCGGGCGGGCGGGTTCGGAGCACTGGGCTCGAGTGACTGGCCTGAAGCACCGCGAGTACCCAAAGTGCCTGCAGTATCTGGAGCGCCGATGGACCGACCTGGTCCTGTGGAACCGGTCCTGCGGAACCTGGCCTGCGGAACTGGTCCTGCGGAACCAAGCTTTTGGAACCAATTCTGTGGAACCGATTCTGTGGAACCAATTCCGCGGAACCGATTCTGCGGAACCCGTCCTGTTGAACTGGTCTTCGTTGAACTGGGTTTTGCTGAACCGGTCGTCTGTTGAACCCGTGTCTGTTGAAGCGGTCGTCTGTTGAAGCGGTCCCTGTTGAACCGGTTGTCGGTTGAACCAGTCTTCTGCCTGCTGGAGCCGTTCCACAAAGAAGGCGGAAGAGAATGGAGAAAAGTAAAAAAAGGAGGAGGAGGAGGAGGAGGAGGAAAAGGAGGAGGAGAAAGAGGAGGAGGAAGAGGGGGGGCTGGAGGAGGAGGAGGAGGAAGAGGAGGAGGAGGCAGGGGCTGGGAGGGGGCATGGACCACAAGGCGAGGGAGAAGGCTGTGCGGGAGGAAGCAACGGGAGGGAGGAGGAAGGTCTCATTCGCCCAGAGGAGGACGCAAAGGATGATCCAAAACCTCGAAGGAGGAGGAGGGCAAGGAGGAGGAAGAGGAAGACGTTCAGGAGGAGGAGGAGGAGGAGGAGGAGGAGGAGGAGGAGGCTGCGCGTGTGGAGCACGTGAAGAATGATGACGAGGAGGGGGAACAGAATCCACCTCCGTGCCCCCTGGCATGCTGAGGATGCATCCACTCCCCCTTCCCAGATCAAAGCGACGGGCCCGCGGACATGAGCCCACGACAGCTGGTACACAGGAGAACTCAAATGAGCCCGCACTCCCGAGGCCACGACCCCTTGCACGGCTCGCGCCCCCGAGCTTCCACGATGCCCGAGGCAGACAGTTCAGGCCGCCAACATGGCCCCATGTGCCTCCAAGATGGCCGAAGATGGCCCCAGGGCGGCCCAAAGTGGCCTCAGGACGGCCCGAGAGGCCGTCAAGACGGCCAGAGCAGTCCTGGCCTCCAAGACGGCTCCAAGACGGCCCAAGAGGGCCACAGCATGACCCACTTTCCTCTACTCAGCCTGCCAATGCCAGCCAAGTCCACCAAGGATCGAGCAGCGGGCCAGCGGGGCCGGTCGCTCGCGACAGTTGCCCTTCGGGCCGAGTCTTGCAAATGGTGCGCGCACGGCAAGAACTGGAGCAAGCTCAGAGCAAGCTCAACAGACCAAAAGCCAACTGCGCGCCTGCTTCCACAATGATCCTCCTCCTCCTCCTCCTCCTCCTCCTCCTCCTCCTCCTCCCCCTCCCCTCCCCCTGCAGATGTTCGGCCCTCGGATTCGCCCAATCGGCGGACCCGCTGGCCCGAAAAAAACACAGATGTTATGAAGTGCGCGTGTGTGTGTTGGCCGAGCCGAGGTGGGCATCCCAGGGGACAGGCGTGGGGCGGGCAGGCGGGCCTGTCAGCGGTGAGTCTGCGAGCGGGCGCAGCAGCGGCAGCGCCCCGGACACCGCGCGGATCGCGGTCAGTCCCACGTTGCCTCGGCAAGCCGGCCCGTCTGGAACTCTGCGAGGACGCCATCGTGCCCGCCGCCGATCAGACTTGCGGAGTTCATGGACTGGACGGCCTCCTCCCTGACGTCGATCGGCTCTGCGT